TTAGGTGTGTTTATAAAGAATGATCATTTTCCACAAAAAATTGCATTACAAAAATGTCGATCAAAAGTTTTCCCCCTGAATATAAAAATCAACGGATACAACCAAATTTTTCTATACGACAACGATGAGAAATTGGCTTTTTGGTCCAAATTGGTCCACTATGTATAAGTTCTCATTATCGTTTTTACTCAACCGCTTATGTATTATTTTCGTTCATTAATTTTTTATGAATTATGATGAAAATCCTGCACTTTACTGCCAGATTTTCCAAGTGAAAATTATTTTGTGATTATCCTGAAATTGACATCCGATTTTCAACATTTTGATTTATTGGAGATATGGAATTATTTGCTAGGCATACTAAAGGATAGATTCCACATTCTGAAATTTTGTATTGCATTATGTTAAATCATTTTCATCAGTACGTTTCAGTGTATTATTTCATTTTGGTTCTTCATAATATTATTGATTATAAACGCATGTATTCAAAAAATAAAATCTGTTTACTATTTGAAAAAAATTAGTCCCTTGGAAATTAAACACTATAATTTTCATCACCTTAACCTTTGTATACAGGCCGATTCTTTCACCATGCGGTAACAATGCTATATTCTAAACCGTAACAGATACGAAGACGATTAAATGGGGAAAAAAGGTAACTGTCATTGGGAAAAATACAATGGTCGAAGAAAATTTACGGGGACTCTGGCCCTTCTCGAGTTATACGGGAAAAATCAAAAATGCTGTTTTACGGGGAATTACGAATGGAATTGTTATTTCGGAGAATATCAAAAAATGGAAAAGCAAAATTATATTGTATTCGAAGTGTACTATGACGATGTAATAATGAATATTCGATAAAACGTTTCGTGTCAACATTACCACCAACAACTTTTTTTAAAATACGGACCTGTCTTTTTTATTAGAGATATTGATAAAGCAATAAATTCACAATCCAAAGGTATATCACATTTGACATTTTTATAGCGTAATTCAGACAACCCAATAAATTCGACAGGTAGGTATCCTGACACAATGAAAATTCGTACTTTTTCGTTTTGGAAATTTTTGTATTGCCGTAATCTTTCTTTCAAGGCTTATTTCTCCCTAATCAATTATAATTCGTAATATTTTTATAATTCTCAATCCTGGAAGTAACGAAAATATCAGTTTTTGGTCAAAGTTCGATTATTTAGTTATGCAAAATCAAATAGAAATCCTCTTGAGCTATATCCGAATCGTCGTATTCCGAACATCCAAATGTTTACACGATTTGAAAGAAATTTGAGGTGCATTTGACAGAAAAAAAAACAAGAAAATGTGTGGTTACTGGCAGTGTGAGGGATCAAATAAATGTTATGGGTAAGCAAATATTACCACATAAAAAATTACACAGTGAAAACATCTTTTTTTATTTATTATTGGCTAGTTACAAAAATTATGCTAATTAAGATTGTTCTTTACGAGAAATTGCCCACGAAATAGGGATTTCTGTAAAATCCACCAGAACTGTTTTGAAAAAGAACAAATATAAATGCTACAGGATAAGCAAAGTTCATCACCTCAATGAAAGGGATTACTGAAGGAGAGAACGATTTGCGAAGTGGTTAAGACGTAGAAATAGAGAAGTAGAAAATATTTGTAAAAAAATAATATGGACGGACGAATAAAAATTTGTTTAAAATGGTTTTACAGAAATGTCCATTATAAGTGGAATAACACAAATGAACATTTACATAGGGAAACCAATTTCCAAAAAAGGTTCAGAATAAATGTTTGGTTGGGAATTGTGGGAACAAACATCCTTGGCCTTTTCTTTTACGATGATCTTTTGAATAGTGAAATGTATCTTCATTTTCTATTCAATGAGTTCGATGGCTACTTAGATGAATTGCTACTGAATATCCGCCATGAATTACAATACTTACAACAGGACGAGGCTCCTCCCCATAATGCAGCAATAGTAAGGGAACATTTAGATGCAATAATCCCAAGAAAACGAATTGGAAACAATAGACTAATTAACTGGCCAGCTTCAACACCAAGTACAGATATCGACCATCTCAAACAAAAAATAAGAGATGCGTGTATTAATATTACACCTATCATGCTAGAAAATTGCCACAGAAATTGTCTGGACCGACAACTTATTTTGCCATGTAGCTTTGATTTTCCGTATTGCTTTCATTTTTCCCAAAAGTTCATGTTAAAATAAATGGTTTTTCTGTTTGATTGTTGTCACTGATGATGGTGGGTATTTCAAATGAAACGCTATAAAAATATCAAATGTGATATACCCTTGATTTGTGGAATTATGGCTTTATCAATATTTGTAATGAAAAAGAAAGGTTCGTATTCAAAAAAAAAGTTGATGATGGCCATGTTGACACGAAACGTTTTATGGAATATTCATTATTACATCATCATAGTACACTTCGAACACAATAACAATTTCCTTTTGAACTTTTTTATATTCTCTGAAATAACAATTCCATTCGAAAAAAAAACGAAAAACAGCATTTTTGGTTTTCCCCGTATAACTCGAGAAGGGCGAGAGTCACCGTAAATTTTCTTCGACCATTGTACTGTTCCCGATGACAGTTACCTTTTTTCCTTTTAATCGTCTTCGTATCTGTTACGGTTTAGAATATAGCAATGTTACGTCGTGATAAAAGAAACGGCCTGTATAGTTACAAAGCTACTAGGTTAGTGTATACAGTGCATTTCTTTAATGTCCCCACCCTTTTCTTTTTTGAACGGGTCAACTCAAAAAATTGAGATTTGGGATAATGGAATTATTGCATGAATACTTTATTTTTAAGTGAAATTGACAGATGAAACTTTCAAGATGGCGACTGGGCGCCTTTTAGGAAGAAACGAAAAGGGGGGTCTTGTGACACATAATTTGGTGCTCCTGGCGAATACTTCACAACTATAGAATATGAAGTCAATATCTTCACCTACTACAGAATGGTGGAACATTTAATCATTTTTTGAAGAAATAAATCGATATTTCTAGGAATATTCCTTTTTATCTGCCTTACGGCAATTCCAACAACCCGATAAGGTTTGTTAACTTAGTTTTTGTTTATAAAAACGACAAAAAATGTCAGTGACAATGAACATCACTGTTCAGTTAGAAAAAAATTAAGCGATTTTTATTTACGTTGCGACGCGTAACTTTCACGAAACCGAAAGGATTTTCAATGAACGTTTTCCGAATCGTCCTAAACGACAATGTCCACAGACAAAATTGCCGTTATTGAAGTGACACCAACCCTCATGTATTCCGGGAAACAGATACCCAATATCCAGAAAAAAATTAACGTTTGGGCAGGAATATTGGGAAACCATGTAGGACTTCTATTTATTGATCAACATTTAACAGGGGAACTGAATTTGAATATGTTGGAAACTACTGTTGACCCTCTCTCACTGAAATCGTCGAAGCGAATCCTAATGAATTCGATATGGATATTGTATTCCAACAAGATGGAGCACCACCACATTACTCCAGACAAGTAAGAAACTTTCTGGATACTACTTTTCCCGGTCGTTGGATTGGCCGTCGAGGTCCACATAATGGCCAGCCCGCTCGCCAAATTTGACACCTTTGGACTTTTTATGGGGCTATTTGAAGCAAAAGGTGTAAGAAACTCAACCTGTTTCAATATTGGATATACGGTAGAGAATAATAAATATTTATAGAGATATTGACGTTAATGTGTTCGATAATATTCGGCGTAAAATATCGGATAGGCTGTTCAAATGTCAAGAAGTTCAAGGCAACCATTTCGAGCATCTTCTGAACTGACCTCAAGCTTATTACCTCATATTATGTACCTAGTCTGAAGTAGTTGAAGATATTGACATTAGATTCTAGGGTTGTGAAGCATTTGTCAGGAGCTTCAAAAAGATGTGCCACAAGACCCCTCTTTCCATTTAATTTTTTTCCCAGATGGCGTCCACTCGCCATCTTGAAAGTTTCATCTGTCATTTTCACTTCAAAATAAAGTATTCATGCATTAATTTCAACAATATATCTATATACAAAGATTTAATTATCCACAATTTCAATTTTTTTAGTTGACCCGTTCAAAAAATAAAAGGGGGGGGGGACGTTTTGCCATCTGATATGGAAATGAAAAAGTTCGTTATAGTAGTAAACTATCCTTTGTATTTGATTTAGGCCATTCATTAGTAGATGGCAGGACAATGTATGGTAAATCTTTGGACAATGATATTGCCTAAATTTTGTCTTCAATAACCCCCTACTTTTCCACAGTTTATACTTTTATCCGCTTTTATACTATGATTTAGGGTATCATGAGGTCCATTAAGTGAGAAATTGATAATTTCAGGGTTTTAAAGAGGTGTTCTTGGAAATGATTTTCCTTCAAGGTTGATTCAGAATGCAGAATGGTTACAGTACAATTCCATAATAGTAGGCACTATATTCTCAGAAATATTAAACAGAAACATTAAATGGAAAACATTGTTCTCAAGGTTGTGGTTCTATATAAGTATTTTATTATCATTTTTCATCTGTATAGTATACTTTTCGTACGCCACTGCAAGAGACATTAAGGCAAAAACGTCAGTCATTTCTGAGAATTGAGTGCCTACTATTTTGGAATTAGTCGCTCTTAAAATAAGGTGTAATACCTCTCATCATATGGATTCGTAAAAAAAATTAAAAACATAGTTTTTACTATTGTAACTGGAAAGAAGCATTCTGTTGTGAAATCTCGATACTATATCAATGTTCCCTATAACCCTAGCACCTGGAAAAAAAATTAGCCTGGCTTTTATTCCGATATCTACCAGAGTTATCATAAATTTATCGGGTTTTACCAAACAATAATGGGTTTGTAGTTTTGAAATTTATATTCATTTAGCTTTCTCTCTCCACTCTCATTAGTCAGGATTCTAGGTATGCCTTGTTTCACTCAAGTTCATTCGAGCACAATAAATGATTTTTTAACCTTTTCGAGTAGGGTTAGTTGGGGTAATGGTAAACGATTTTTACAAATTATAATATAAAGTCTTTTAAAATCTGAAGTTCAATATTTACCACATAATATTTCTGGGTGGAGGCATCTTGGAGGGTTGTGGTTATGTCCTTGAAATGGCAGTAATAAGGTTGGATAATTCATCGAAATATGAGATGTTTACAATTGCCCAAGAATAAGAATAATTATTGGAAATTTTGGGGCAATCGTAAACATCGTGTTCGTGTCTATATCAGCCCTGTGTAACTTTATATGGGGTAAATGTGAACAGAGAACCAAATCGTTGAGATTTCGTTTCTCGACTGATGATATTTCGAGTAATGTTTACAATTGCCCCAAGGATATTTGAGAAAAATATGTAGTAAAAAATAAATATATTCTCCTCATAAAAGTACAAATGTTCAAATAGGTAATTTTAATATGGTTTTTCGAAAATGTCTACTTTTCCAGAAAATGAATAAATCATTTTGCGTCCCACAAACTTGGTACTGGGTGTAGGAAGAATAGCAACCACCTCAGTGTGATGTAAGATACGTTCATCTCGTTGATGTAGAAGTCAGAACAGGTTTTGTCGACTGACTTGAGCCCTACAATAGCAATTTCACCATCATCCTCATCTTTCTTCTGAACTAGGCAAACATATTTATATTCAATGGAGCTCTTGTGTATCCCAGTAAATTTGGCTAGAATAAAAGTGTCTTCCTGTACATCGTCCCACTTCACCTCTCTATAAACCACAGATTTCAATTCTTTCGAAGATTTTTTATTGATCAACGTGATCAATGGTAAATCTTCGTCGTCAGTCTCATTTTCTTCAAATAAATGTACGTCTTCCTCACTTTCAGTATCAGATGGTGTAAATTTTAATGTTCTATTCCCCTTTTTTTTTGATACCTTTGCTCTGTTTCATTTTTCGAGGCTTCTTGGTCATATTTCCTTTATCCTTCTTCTTCTCTTCAGCTTCTTCAAGTTTCTTTAAAACTTCAGAAGTTGTCAAGACTTCTCCGTAAGTGGACTGTCTCAAACGTGGGACGACTTTTCTTGGAAGAGCACTGGCAGCAACATCTAATGTAGTAGGATTTTTACATGCTTCCTGTAACTTTTGACTGAATATGTGAAGAATGCGATTCGGAGAATAGTGTTGGGGCTGTTGTAAATTCCAAGTTTTCTTCTCTGGAGTCATTACCGGTGGAGTCTTCTTTGGGTATGGTGCAGGAATAGGACCGTTCTGTTCTATAACAGATGTTCCCGGAATAGGCTCAATATGTTCATCAGAAGTTTGTAACCCCAAAGATACAGATTTAATGCTCTGCTTGTATTTTTTCAATTTAATAGGATCAAAGAACTCTTCAGGAAACATTGCAGAGTTTATAGGAAATATACCAGTAGTTTCAAACCCTGATATAATGTTTGCTGCTGTCATACCATCTCTCCAAACTTCGGCTAGTAGCTCCACAAATTTTTGTTTACTAAGCCTACCTGACGATTTGCCCATTTCGGACTTGCCATGGGCTACTAATATTTTGTCCCATTTAATTTTCACGGGGCCGAAAACACACTTGTCCAGAGACTGTATCCTATCAGTCAAGTGACTGGGAAATCGGAAGAGTGATATGTTGTTTTGAATAGCTGCATGTACAATGCGAACGCTTACATGACTGCAGTGGCCGTCGAACAGTAGAATAGCTGCTTGATTAAGTTGGTTATGCCTAAGCCTGCGAACTTTCACATCGGGAATAAATGATGTCACAAACCAATGATAAAAGTGAGGCTCCTCCATCCATCCGTTTTTTGATGCTCCATATAACGTTCCTGGAAATGCTTTTTCAGATGTCCAACGTGCCTGGACCGCCCCTCCTTTGAACACAATAAATGGGGGAAGATAAGTTCCGTCTGCAGCAATGCAGGCCAATACTGTTGTCGACTCTCTTCCTGAACCACCCGAAACTCGACTCAGAGCTTTTCCTTTCTCGCCAATCGCTCTTACTCTGGAGGGATCACTACTAAATCCAGACTCGTCAGCATTGAAAACGAAATACGATTTATTTGGTTGGTCGACTGATGTTTCACTCATCAGATCATTAATCTTTTGATAAAAGTCGTAGACCACAAACGGATCTCTGGCGTCTTTTCGAATCTTTTGAAGATGCTCAGGCTTCTTGAATGACAAGTTTGGATGCCTCCTCATGAATCCCAAATACCAATCGTGTGAAGGTACGTTATTTTTGAAAGGAGTTTTCAAATTCATCAATGTAACATATTCGCCGACAAAACTACATAACTCCTTCTCGTCAGCAGGCCAGCCCATTCGAACACGAGCAATAAGACATTTTGCTAACGAATTCTCTACATCTGCAGGTAAAGCAGGCCGGCGCCCTGCTTTCAAAACAGTCATGGGATTTTTTCTACCTCTTATTCTATGGTAAATGACGGCAAGGGGTATATTGTAGGCCTGCTGTGCTTGCCTGAAAGTTTTATTTTTGTTCTTAACATCATTCAGGGCATTAACGAGATCTACATCAGAATATCTTTGATCATTTTTCTTTTTTTGTTCGTAGTTTCTCACCATCGTATTTCTGAAAGGAAAAGAAATTGTGTTTACAATTTCCCCAAAAAATTTGAAGTGTTCACAATTCCCCCAAAAATCCGTTTACTATTACCCCAACTTTATTCAACTTGGGGCAATTGTAAACACACGTGCACTGGTCACTCCGTGATATATAACCTCAAAATAAGGCAACGTGGCATTAGTTTAATTATAATCATTACGAATACATAATATAACACAACTTACCTGTATTAATTTCAATTTTTTTTTGTGACACAAAGCGATCAGTTCGAATCTGCTCAACAACTTTTTTATGCTGCAAAAAAGAAAATATTTTTTTCAGCTCGACCGGTAGCACTAACAATCGGTGTAAACAGACGAATACGGATGAAAGTTGCAGTGTCTCCGTCGCGGCTTGGCAACATTCGTAGGCGCCAAATTCAAATGTTATTAAACGTGTTTGCAATTGCCCCTGTTTACGTTTACCCCAACTAACCCTATCTTCGTTTTCCACAATTTGAAAAATGTAATGAATTTATCTCATCAGGTATTATTATTTGTATCCTACAAGAGCGGAAACTACATGACAAAACAAAGAAGTTCTGGTAAACTTAATTTTTATTGTTCAAATAGTTCCTACTCTGAGTTACATATTTCAGTATTTTAAAGGTATCTATGTATTTCTTGAATAGACTTTGGGACTTCATCAACAAATTTTTATCAAGATAATAGATTTTTCTCTAATCTATTCATCTCATATTGTTAAAGATCGAATGAATAATCATACTAAGTTGCTTGACAATATTCGAAAGCCTTCAAAGCATACATCTCTCCAAATGTCCCTACGTTGTAGGATCTGGTAAATGATTACCACGCTACTTCCCCAGTTAATACCACGATGTACATTATGACAGACATTTATGTAAGTTACTTAATAAACGATAGTCTTGCAAAGGCTCCTCATTCATACAGCAGCAGTCCCTTGCTGCCATTTTTAGGTATCACCTACAAATTGGGATATTACCTCTCATCAGTGGTAGAATGATTCAACCCATATAGTGTCAGTGGTAAAATGATTCAACTCATATAGTGAAATGAAGAAAAGGCTGTAAACTGGTTTACTTCCAATAATTTGAAATCAAATAGGGGAAAAACTCAAATAGTTATATCTTCAAATAATAGGGTAACAAACAGAAGCATGTCAAATTATTAGGTATAATTATTGATGACTCACTTAAATGGGAAAATCATATTGACTTTCTATGCAACAAATTGTAACTCAGCTCTACCTTCTTCGCCAGCTGAAAAGATTTATGAGTACCAATACATTATAACTGTGTATTACTCACTATTTCACTCTCATTTAATGTATGGAACTCTCTTATGGGGAAAATACTCTCATGCTCAAAAGATTTTTCCGTAAAAAAAAATCACTTAGAATAATAGCTGGAGCTTCATTCAACAAACCATGTCAACCTCTCTTCATCTTTCACAAAATTCTGCCTTTGCCTTGTATATTTATTTTAAACATTTTTTTAGAGATCCATAAAAAGAAAAGTATATTCTCCACCCAATCAGACTATCATAATTATCCCACTAGAAATGCAGATAGACAACCGCTGAATAAACTAGAAATGTTTATAAGAAATTCACTGGATCTCAAGTTGTACAACCATTTACCAGTTGACCTCACTCAGCTCAGTACTCCATCATTCAAGAGGAGAGTTAAAACATTCCTTTAAAAAACTGTTTTTACTCAACACAGGATTATATGATTAGTACTTACACTTAATGATTAATTCACTTGATATTACTTTTTATTTATATGTTGCTATGTGATGTTCTCTAGCACCAATATTTTATTCTATCTAGCAGTTGAGTTTTATTTCAAATGATCAATAATAATTGTATATTATCTTTTAATTTTGTACTCAGTACAGCGTGCATCTGCACTCTTTTTGACCTGTCATAAATGTACTGTATACATAACATGATTAAATAAATTCTGTCTGTTTGTCTGTTTCTAGAACTCGAATAATGTCTTCATGGTTCTATATGATAATTTTGCCTAAGTGAGAGAAAGAAACTACTAACAGCTCCATTTTTTGAACAAAGCTCTGAATGGGAAAAAGCACTCTTTTTACCATTACTATATCTACTAGAAATCAAAAATAAAAATTTAATTACATAATTCAAGGCAATACAATTTTTAACAGAAATCAAAATCAATATAATGACTGTGTTGAGGAGAGATGTATATGTCAGTATCTCTTCTGGACACAGTCATCAGACTGATTTTGATTCCTTTCACTACTGCCCTGAACTGAATTCTGTAGTTGAATTTTGAGCGTTTATTCATTCCATCCCTAACATTGCATAGCCTTGGTACATAAAAAAAATTAATTACTCTTAAATGCACAAGGTATGCTATGAACTGAGCTTATTTGAACAAGTAACATCTTGGGAATGCAGAAAAGGGTTCACACAAATAATGTTTCATGACACGTTTCTAATTCATTAACCGAAATAACAAGAAAGTTTAATTTTAAAAATGAATATAAATATAAAATATTCCAGCAAGTTTACAATCTTACATATATTGAATGTTCATTCATTGGCCTGGAGCAGAAAGTGATTTATCCATGAACTTCTTCTTGGCAAAACAGAGCCACCACTTGCTTGGTTTGCCATCGTCACCAAAAACTTTCTCACAAACTCTAGAGCCGACCTCTTGTCTTACTTGCGTTAAATAAGTACGCATCAACTCAACATCAGTTTGATTTGCAGGTTTACTGTGAAAAAAATGGAATAAATCATGGACTGATGAAACTAATATCCATCTCCATTGAATGAATGAAAGGTAGAACTTAAATCTCTGGCATAATGAATCCAACACAAACACTTCTTGCACAAAAGAACTGGAAAAAAAGAACTGGAAACTGCAACACTCTTCAAGATGCTTGTATCAACAACGAAGTTGGTGTAATTTGTAGGTGAATCATAATAATTGAGTATAGTTCATCTACTAATAAAGCTAATTTGGTTAGTGAAACTATATTCAATCGATATCAATCAAGATATTCTACTTCAGATCTTAAATATCCCTACACTTACATGAATATCTTGTTTGATATAATTCAATGTGCATTATGATATTATCCAGGACAATAATTGTTTTATGACAAGTATTTCTTAATAGCAAAATACAGAAACCATGCAATATATTCATGTGAGAAATAAAGGCGATTATCATTATTATTATATGTTAAAGAGAAGTGATTTAGTTCACATATGTAAGATCAGTGTTTGTGTTGAGTTCTACAAAATGGAGTTTGCAAAATGACATCAGCTAAAGAAGGAATTACCAGCAAGTTGGAGGTTTACTCACCTGTAAACAGAATTCAGAGGAAAGCCAGGATCCCCAGGAATATCAAATCTTGATATTGCCAACGTTTTCATCTCATTCTGAGCCTGGCCTTTTGTACTGCACCTCTGAAGCTTCTTCAAACATTCTGTTATGTACAGGGTAATATATATTAGCAGACGGTCGGCTTCCGACTGAAATAAATTGACAATAAATTAAAAAGTGAAATTGTCAGTTCTGTAAATCATTGCTTGTAAATTCATAGCTAAGAATAGTATCGAAACTTAAAACTATAGCTTACTTTAATTTCATAAGTTCTGAAAAAAACATTAGCTTTGAAATAATAAAGGGCTTCATCAATAATATCTTGGTCTGCTGGATTGCTAATGTATTGGGGAGCTGGACCTCTGAACTGTGTTTTGATTGGCAAAATTGCTGTATTTCCCACTACTTGGGGAGGCTCCAAAAAACTTGAGTGATAGGCCTGAAAAATGATTACATTGTAGAAGGCAAAAATTACATGTCCTTTTTACATTTTTTTTCATTTCAGTAACAAGGAATATCTCAGTATCTCTTCCAAATCTGATAGACACACCCTTCCTAGCGGAAATGATTCAGATTATCGATTTTGAAATGCAAATATTCTTACAGGCATTATTTATATTCAGATGAAAGTAATCCTGGCTACCAACACGGGTACTTATAGTTTATATCAGATTTAAAATTCTCATTTTTGAAAATAACTTGTAAATAACTCTATATAAAGAATCCTAAAAAAAATCTGTCGTTTTTCATTCTTCTTCTTCTTTTCTTATCCCTAGGAGGTAAGATAGTCAAATACGTACATCTGTCTGTAGACAGCAATTACTTTGCATGGATATTTTCTCTTGAGCATCAATATTTTGTTATGGTATGGAAAACAGGTTTGTAACAAAATCATGCAATGTATGTAATATATAATCTGAAAAACCAAATATGATATTGAGATATATCAAACTTTCGATTCAAGCTTTCATATTGAATATTTAGATTCTTTCCATTCTCAATATAGTACAGTTTATGAATAGGTAGTAGCGTACTGACATTAGAATTTTAAAATACGAGTTATATGATTTTTAGGGTACCTTGCATTTTCTTAGTGTTAATTTTGTTCCACCCGAATTTTCGTTAGAGGATGTGATTGTACTGGGTGTTTCCTAATTGCGAAGAAAAAAGTATTACATGCTTTCATATTGAACTTTTTTTATTTTTCGAATATTCAGAAATCATCAAAACCTAATTGTAACAATATTTCAAACAAGATAGTTGTACAAACTTCAACAGCTTCTAATACTTTACCGAACTTATATCTATCTGTCTGTTAAAAAAAAATCTTTTTCCGTTAATCAGCTGTCTTCCCCATATGAACGACAACTCTCAGAAGTTGGGAAACTTGTGCGAGCTGAGGACTAACGAGGTCTTACCTTTTAACGTGTGAATCCTAACACGGTTGCAGAATCATCCCAGCTTCAACCAGATAAATTCTCTCGAGAAAAATATCTGGTCGAGGCAGGAATCGAACCCACGGTCTTCCGATCGTGAGTCGGGCGCACTACCACCGCGGCCAATTCCACAATTGTCATACTTCACTTGGAAAATTGCTCACATATATTGAGTTCTGCTCGTAAGCATACCCTAAGATTGCTAGACTCTGCACAAAAACAGCCATGCACGTACCTCTGAAGTTCCAAACATCACGAATCACCTTGATTTGATAGTCATAAGCTCGATTCCATCAAGCCTAATATATGTTAAAACTACGCTCCTCATTGCCAATACACCTCACTACATTGATTTGGGAACGCTGAGTAAATGCGACGCTCCAGAAAACAGCTTCAAAGAACTAGTTATAATAATATATAATAATAATAATTTTTATTTTCCTTTAGACAATAAGAAATTGTATAGGAATTGTCTTAAAAGTAGAAAGTAGATTAACAGAAGTTAGGCATACTAACAGTACAAACCACGGTCTTATTCTAAAGATAATAAGATTACATAAAAAATAAAATATCACAAAATTTTCACAATAGAGTTACATTACATTAGCTTGCAGAAAAAAACGAATCCACGTCATAAAAACACTTTTCGATCAAGTACGATTTCAAGCGAGATTTGAACAAAGGTGCAGGTACACAATTTCGAATATCATCGGGTATAGAATTGTAGACTTTAGGCCTTATTACATTTGGTGACATCGAACATATCATTGTTCCGCAATGGGGAACATCTAAATTATTTTTTTGTCTGGTATTAAGATGGTGAATATCAGATCTCAGTATAAATTTAGCTTTATTTTTAAATACGTATAGACAAGTTTCAAGTTCAGCGAAACGAGGCGATAAGTCAACGTGAGCCGGCTAGGAATCAATATTAGTTTCAGATATTTCTGTGTAACTGCCTATCTTGTGGAAGGACGGAGGATAAAAAGTTACAAAAAAATGTTATGTAGTACATAAGTGTACTTTATTGAAGGAATTTTATTTTTGTCGTGAGGCTGATTTAAATGTTTTGGTTATTTCAAAAGTTTTGTCATGTGTTTTTGTAGCTTCATATCTTGATAAATATATTTATTCTACTGCATCGTAGTACATACTGATCGATAGAGATTTTTGTACTCTATACATTGAGCCTAGAAGTTTTGCCTCACCCACCATACTCCCCAGACCTCTTGCCAATAAATGACTACCATCTTTTCAAGCACTTCGATAACTTTCTCACTGGTACAATCTTCGCCAATCAGAACCAGGCCCTTCGTTGACCTAATCGAATCCCGATCACCCAATTTTTATGCTGAAAGAATTAATTGTTTCGGCCTTGATAAACTTTCTTCCGACTGAACACATCATTATTCAAGCTCCAAATAGCAAATGATTCGATTTATAACAGTTCAAATGTGGGTCAGATGTTGTACCGAAATTCGCACATGTCTCGTGATGACACACAAGCTTTTGACAAACGCACAGTTTGGAAGTCGCGTATCTTTGTTGTTATATTCTGGATGACAAGCACTACCAAAATATTTGAAAAGATTATATTTGACTGAACGACCCTATGAGCCACTTTCGCACAGGCATGACTCTCAGATAATTTGTTGATAATGTGTTTTTTTGTAGTGATTTTACGTTTCGTCAGAAACGGTTTATATCATACTGTGAAGAATTATTTCATGGCTCACTTTGTTTACTTACATGATTTATACAACTACCTTTCGCATCACCCGAAGACGACTGTAGATACCAACAATCGAAACGTCGTGAACTAACGTGACTTGGAATCTCTACACTTTTTATTTTTTTTTATTTTTTTATTATTTTCTTTTTGCATTCCTTTAATTTTTATTTATTCAATTATTATATTTTTACTTGTAGGTTATTTCACTATCATTGCATTTCAGGTTTATTGTTGCTTAATATAATTGTTATTTTCAACTATTCTTTTTTAATTATTCTTTTTTACTCGTTTCAGGAATTTCAAATCATTTTATATAGTAGACAATGGAAGTCCGAACTAGTGAAATTCATCACGAAACATTGTCAATCACCTTCAAACATACTTTTCGCTTGTTTCCAGACAGAACAGGATTGATATATTTTCATAGTCATATAGTTGAACCAAGCCAAGATGGATGGATACAGTCGAGCAGATGACTCCAGCCTATCAAAATATAACTTAATATAAATTTAGAGCCGTTTTGCGAAGTTCGTTTGTAGTCTTTGAAAGCTTCCTGAATTCAAAACAATTTTCATAAGAGTAAATAAAATACGATGGTATGTATGTCTAGCAATTCGAAATTTGAAGACTCTTCTTTTCTAAAGTATTGACCCAAAGTGAAGATAAATTCGATATACATATAATAATTCCGACTATAAAAGTCAAAATTTTGTGTTCAAAGTAAAATTGTCGTTGAAAATTAGAGCCCAAACACAACACATTCATGATTCAATACCAGACAGCGCTGTTTCTACTCGCCATAGGTCTCATCAGTGGTGCTAGGCTGAACCATAAATGGATTGCTGAACTCAACTGAGCCCCTTCCCCTAACGAAGGTGACATCTAGGGATCGACAAAGAACTCAACTCTCGAATATCAAAGATAAACGAGTCTTCCGAAGGCGGTCAGATGCATAGTCAAACTTCGACTGCCGACGAGATTCATCCCCTGTCTTTCAGTGCAGCTTTCACTAAGAGGCAACTAGCTGAAAACCAGAGCCAAACACAAGGAAAAGAAAATATGAGATCAAAAAATGTTTTATACTTTCTCTCAAATGGGTAGTCTAAAAAGAAATTGTCATTGAATGATTTGTAACTCTTATTTATCTAATTACAATAATATTTATAACTGCCAACAAATGATTCGAAAATGGGTCAAGTTCATATACTTTCGTTTCATTCACAAGGTTATACTATTTATTATTCAATAAATATTTAATGTTTACACTGTGAAATGCGCTGATAAAGAGAACTTAAATGAAAGACAACTCACTGATCAACATTTCCTGTCAGTATTTTTGAAGTGACCATGTTCCAAAAAATATTTCTGTGTATTACTTTTATTCAACTGTCGTTATTGGAAATTACAATTAGCACTCCAAAACTACGTAAGAATATAAATATAATATTTGATGACGTCTTTCTCGTTTTCCATTATTATTCATGATTGATTTATCCACATTGCACCTACCTATATATTGTTTGAGAATATTGATAATTATCTTAATCATTATCATTGTTTCGAAACTAAATTTTTTATTTATGCTTTTATTTCAGCCACTTATTTCAAAATATGTCACAAATCTGATCCAGATCTGGGAAAATGTATAAAAAGGTCTGTGGAGGAGCTGAGGCCTCTTCTCACCAAAGGCATTCCTGAACTCAATATTCCCAGTTGTGAGCCACTTTGCATTCCAGAAGTGGTTATAGACCAGGGAACCGGATCTGTAGCTCTCAAGTCAGTCTACAAGGATATAAAGGTTTATGGACCTTCTAAATTCGTGATTAAACAGATAAAGTAAGTATATTCAGTTTTCGCGTAGTTTGATATCTACATGTGCTGTTTCAAATCAATATTCGAGAGTATAAATTATGTATATATTTTCTATGAAGTATAGCAATTTAAAATGAAGTTGAACTAAAGAAAGTGAAACCTACAAAATCCTACCTAAATATCCCATTTTCTTTATTCATTAAAGTCAAAATGAAATAAGTTAGTCTTGACCAAAATATAATATTTTTCACTTACCTCAACCCAAAATTATTGATGAAATGAAAATCACTAGATCTGGAACATTGACGCGTTGTTTTGTCACGTTGTATTTCAAAAATTTAAAGCAGAACATTTTCGATAAATTTACTCCAGATTTGACGTAGCATCATGCCATCATGTGTTATTTATTAAAAACGTTCAATATTACATATTGAGAACAACTTGTAACAGATTTGTGAGATATATTATATCTCGAATTGTTCAAAATTTTCTTCTTATACTTATATTTTATCAGCATGTTTCTTTGATTACACATCAAACTCACTGCAGAAAACAGAAATATTATTATACATATTATCCATACCTTTTTCATGCTCTTGAATTGATTAGCTAGAAAGTTATGATGAATTAAAAACATCACATTATCACTCTAGACAAGAATTGATTGGTTTTTATATAAATGCTCATTATTTATACATTTAGCTAAATTATTGAATTTTTTGTATGGATCTCTTTTGTATATATAAAATACATATCATGTTACTTCCTGAAAATGAAGCTTCATAGGTATAAGTGACAAAAAATTCAAAATCAGTTAGGTAGTTTTTGAGTTTATCTACTGCGAACAAATAAACATACAAAAAATAACATATTTTGTCTTCATAAAATTAGTTATCTAAAAAACAGAATTCACGATTTGAAATGTATATTCTTGAGATTTCCAAATGAAAGCTCTCATATCTAGCAGTTACATATTTTTATTTTTTCCATGTAGTGTACGTGAATATTAACTTCGAGAGTTTTAATAATATATCAAAGACTAGCTCATGCCCACGAATTCATTCCAGCGTGGACTTCAGTTTTTGGGTTTTTACAGATTTTCCAACAGCAAAAAGTTCCCATTTATTTGTGAAATGAGTTTTAATGTAAAATATGTCAATATTGTTGAAAATTTCATAATAAACTCTGATTTCTTCCACAAAAAATGAATTTGTTCAATAGTAAACTTCTATTATTGAAATGTTCTATGAGGAAAGAAGCTATTGAGTGAAATTTCATTAATATTAACTGTTTTTTCAGAGTTGACTTAGAAAAAAATAAAATGAGAATGAAAGTCTGGTTGCCCCATCTTGAAGTTATTTGTACCTACACAATGGACGGAAAAATACTCATGATGCCTATATCTGGAACGGGCTTGAGTAGAGCTAACTACTGTAAGTAATGATTAATAACAATAGTAACATTAATGATTACCATTCACTGTGAGATTTTCACAATATTAATTTACTGAACTGCTACATGTATTTTGCTATAGAATCTATTGAAAATACTTTTCTCACTACAGCACAGATACTGAACTCTTTCAGATAGATATTGCTTGATATCTTCCATTGCATCATCTGAGCATCCTATAAAGTGTAAAATAGCCAGTAAAAACGGGTGGTTAATTTTGCCAAAGGCCTTTAAGTAATCAACCAACATGAGAGTACACAGTTCGTCATTAACTAGGGCAGCAAATATTTTAACACTCACCTTTAACAATACTGTGGAACACACAGACCATTGGTCTGTGGTGGAACAACTGTGTCCTATGCGAAAACCAGATTGGGTGCATGATGAAATAGAAAATTGCATGTAAACTATTTTTTGAAAACATTTTGATGAAGCACATAAAATGCTTATTGGACGTAAATCGCTGAAGTCAGTCGGCTTTTAGAAATCTTTGCAAGAGGAATTAGGTATATTGGATTTTTTCCAAACTACAGGAAATACTTTGTTCTCTAAACAAAAATTGATTGGGTATATGCTCAAGATAGGGACAGCAGTGCAAAATCATCATGACACTTACTTCGTTCCAATCGTACCTATCAAGTTCTCTATAGAATACCTACCTCTGGCGATACTGTACCAAACGTTATCATTATTTTATATTTATCTCAATTACAATTACAATGAATTTGCTTTTTTCATATAATCAGATAAAGATCACAAATTCCACGGATAAAAATTATTCATCACTATTAGTTCATCTGGTTTCTTACATATTTCCTTTACCTACATATGAAACGCGTGTCATATAGATTTTCGGTTGAAAGTTGGAAGTGAAAGAACATTGGGATTTTTTAGATTATTAGACTTTTCTGACCTGAATCGAATATGGAAAGCAATATATGGGATTTTATTTTAAAAAGCTAACTCTGATAAGCAAATAATATGAGCAAGTAATTGAAAAAAGTGAATTCCATCAATCTTTAAAATTTTTATGCGAAACCCCAAAAACCTCAAAATAAAAAATTAGAAAAGCCAAACGTCTTTCGATGTATAATCCATAAAAGTAGATAGTAGCTTCTTCAGAGGCATCCGATAAATTCCACTGGGTGAAAAATTGCGATTGATTCACAATGAATACAATTTGTATAATCATCTTACCTAACAATTTGATAGGTGTCTATAAAGCTTCCTCTAGTATTCCATGATATTTTTTCTTCAATAACAATATCATCTCTATTTTTATTTTTCAGCTGACATCGAAGCTACTGTTACCCTCAGAACTGAGAAAATCAAGAAAGATGGAGAACTTTACTATAACGTGAAAGACTTTTACGTTAATTTCGATATTGGTCATGCACAAATATTCTTTGAGGATCTTTTCAATGGAGATAAAGATTTGGGTGAGTGAAAAATGATTGATTTTCTTCTTAATCATTTGCCTCCATTGATTTTCATTTTTTTAATGACTGTGAGACTAAAATTTAATTATTTATTTTTTCAGGTGAAGCAATGAACTTATTCATAAACGACAATTGGAAGCAAGTTGCAAATGAAATCAAACCTGTGCTTGAAGATCATATTGCTGCAATATTCAAAAAATTCGCTAACAAAATTTTCCACAAATACCCAATTAAAACTATACTGCCTGAGTGAACTTATGAATTCCAAATATGTTCGATTTCAGGAATTGAACCGAATTGATAAGTCCTTTTTTATATCAATTGTTGGATGAAATTCATTCCAACGAAATATTTAATTATGATTTTTTACTTTGCATAAATAAATAATAATGTATTGAAATTGATTTTATTTCGTTTTGGAACAAAATATAATGCAATACTTTAAACTGAAAGAGTATATTTTTAGGGGAGATTGATTTTTGGAAAGAAAGATATTGGCCTCTCACTTCTCTATCTTGATAAAATAATGTGGGAGTCTTCCAATGAAAGGAAGGAAGCAATCAATTTGAAAACTCAACTCTATACATGGCCAAAAACTTTTTTTCCCAGAAATTAATCTCTCCCAAAAATAAAACCTTTCAATTTAAACAAGATTCCTATGCCTGGGATTTGATCAAATAGGTGAATGAATCTTACGTCATCGATGGATGGATTCAACCCATTTCGTGACAAAAAGTCGTATTTATGGACGAATTGAGTGTTTTTTCTTATAATGTATTTGCTACTGAAGAGCCGATAAGGCAAGTGTCTTACAGCGAAACATCGGATGTCTAGCAGTGAGGATGTCTGTGTTCCATATAAGTGAAATTGTCCTCCTTTCAATAATTATATTGTGTAGAAGTCCTGTTGATATCTGATTCGATCTCATAAGAATGTTTAAAATACAAACGGAATAGAGAAAAGTGTTTTTCGTATAATTCAGCGTTCATATAAAAGTATTTGTATCGAGAGTATTTTTCTTTCGTGTAATTCAATTTTTATATGAAAATAGCTGTTTCGTGAGGGTTTTTTTTCAGTTCATGTCTGAAAGTTACTTCTTGACATGATCTACACATCTTTGTATAGGGTTAAGTTTTGACATTGAAGGCCAAAAACTTTCTTTCCCAGAATACAATACATTTTATCTCATTTTCGATATAGAATATTTTGGAAAATACGAACTGGAATGAAGATTTTTGAAAAACAAAAGCAATATTTGTAACTCAATTCTTAAAGAAATAACTCGAATTCGTGTTTATCTATAACTAGTTAGCTATGTCAGAAACAAACCAACAGTTAAAAATTATAGACCACTGACAATTTATCCACCCCAGTTTTAACGAAAATAAACTTGTTTTAGACCAGTAAAATAAATTTAGTGAATAGATGACTATCTACTCTCCGAATTTAACCAATCAAAAATCATCTACCCATTTAGTGAAACTAGAGTTGACTACATTTGAAAAGTTGATAAACAAAAAATGTAGTCACAGATGAGTGAAATATTTTTTCTCTGTGATTTAATTGCTCTGAGTTCTAAAAATCCAGAATCTGTACAATAAAGAAGAAGATAAAAATTGAGTAGATAAAGATAACCTCAAATTACAAGATATTTTTTAAAGGTAAAATTGTGTTTTTTTGACATAAATAAAATGTTTAACAGTATATTAAAAGTTATACCGACAACCAACACATTAAGGGGAATATCAATAATCAAAAGATTTGCTGGACATTCTAAATGGCAAAATATAAGACACATTAAAGGTTTAAAAGATGCTCAAAAGAATCAACTGTTTACTAAACTAGGCAGACAGATCAAGGTTGCCGTGCAAGGTATTCAATAGTTGTTCAGAATATCATCATTGTAATTAAAAAACTCAATAACTCATGCTTGTAGAAGGAGGATCCCTTGATGTCAAATCCAACCTCAAACTTTCCCAGGTGATAGACCAGGCAAAGAGGGCCAATATGCCATCAACAACTATTCAGAGCATACTAAAGAGTTGCCAAAACGATAAATCCCAAATGAAAAGTTACCTAATAGAAATCAAGTGAGTTTTGGAAGTTGAATATTGAAAATGTTTCAATTTTCGGATATATTCCAGTTATGTGGCATTGTTTTAGGGGCCCTGGAAGTTGCTTCATATTATGTGAAGTTTTTACATCTAATTTGCATATGTTGAAGCAAAATATGGCCTCCATACTTAGAAGACACCAGTGAGTATCAATTCGTTTTACTCATAGCAGAAGAAAATAGTAATTAATCATTTGATAATAGTGGTAGTATTAACCCATTGAAACTAGTTGCCAACCACTGAATTGATAAATATTCCTTGTAGCGGCTCATTGTATTTAAATAATAATGCTTCAAAGTCAAAATTTGATGCCCAATCTACTTTTGGAGGTGCTGATACAGAAAACTCTAAACTACTATAAAATCAGCAACTTACTTTTGCTAATAAAAACCTTTTTCATGGTTGCACCTTCCAGACCTCTATTCACCCATTTCAAACCTTTAATAGAATAAAAAATTCAGACTCAAAAAGTCAGACTCAAAAAGTGGAAATTATGCTGCCAACTTTCAAAAATTTCACTTAGATTCGCTCAAGAAGAATTTATGTGTTTGTTAATTTCTGCAAATAATTACAACTTCTCATTTCAGTTAAACTGGCCCCATACACAAACCACAAACATGAAATCAGTTGTGAAAGATACTCTCTAAATGATGAAGAAATAGACAATCTATACCTTTTTCATAGAAATAATTATAAATTTGATGTTTGGGGGTCACATAACACTATAGATAGATAGATGATTTTATACATCTCTGTCATTATATTTAACAATGATATGAAAGTGAACAATCAAGTGAAGTACCTTTATTTATCATTTCTCTGCAAGTCGTAAGTAAAAATATTTTTTACTCTTCCAAGCTTTCAATACACATTATGTTTTTTTCAAGGCAATCGAAATATAATTACATTGAAATATATATCCGAGTCCCACAGAAAAGGTCACATTAATTAATGTCTGGATTTGAAATGTTTGATTTTTGGCATAGTTTTTCGAATATTAAGAATTCAAAATTTTGAAAAAACTTATACCCTTTTTTGTTCCTATTGGGAAAGTGAATAAATTTTAATGGATTCAAAAAATATTTGGCAAAGGAAGATAGGTTGGAACTGTAAACTGGAAATATTAAAAAAAAAAATAGAACCTAGGGTTCTTATTGAGCAGTTTAACAAAATACTTCATTTGAGCTTTATATACTTCATAAATATTTTATTGGACCAGGAAATTAAAAATTTATGTTCCAAAATCTGTTAAAATCTGTTTTTCCGTTAACCAGCTGACGCCCCCTACGAACGACATCTCTCAAAAGTCGAAACTTGTGCGAGTTGAGGACTAACGAGGTCTTACTTTTTAACGTCTGATTCCTACCAATATTTTTTTCAAGAATGGTCTTTCACGTTATTGGTATCCAATCATTGTTTGAATGATATTTTTCACAAAATTGAGTTTGAACTACTATTCGGACTAGGTACTTTTGGTCATAATATTCTTATAATTGGTTCCTAATTGTAATTTCAAAGTAGTTTCAGAGCATTTTCAATTATTCTAGGTTTGGTTGTGGTATGTGCACATCAAAAATCACCTGTTTCGAGACTTTTATGCTCTTTAACTTCTACACTTTTAAAAATATGTATTTATAACAAATATGTATGTAGGTAACTGAAAAAGACACAATTTTGAGAAAATTTAAAGTTTTGGGTGGAAAAATGGTAGTGGCAACTGAATAAATATCCGTATCATGTTTGTGTGAAAAAAGGTGTAATTCTTTTCCCTCTATGGAATAGAAAAGCTATCTCTCGACGGACGTTTTGCAAACCAAGTTACCATCGTTAGGAAAGGCTAACTTGGTTAGCGAAACATCAAAAGACAGCTTTTTTCTTCTACTGAGGAAAGAGTGTCTTCAAAAGATTTCACGTCAGAGGTTCCAAATTCTACCTATCAAGTTTTTATTATTTAAAATGAAGTAGTCTATTCTTGAAATTTTCTGAAGTTTTTGACTTTTTTAACATTTTACTAATAATAGTTTTCAATAAAGCATTCAAATTTGTGCAATTTTCAATATTTGTCTACAGGTCCAAATTCAGTGAAGGTGGCACTCATTTGTTCGAAGAAAAAGGTGTGATTGAGGCAGAATGCCTTACCTTTGAGAAAATGTCGGAAGAGGAGGTTTTGGAACAAGCAACCAATCATGCAATAGAGTCCGGAGCCGAAGACGTTAAAGTAATTGAAAAAAATATCATTGAATTCACATGTGGTAAAAGTAACTTAAACAAGGTTGTTCAGGAATTGGAAAAAATTGGTTATAAAGTCACGAGTGCAATGGTAGAATATACACCTCTAAAATTGCAGCAACTGCAGGAGACTGAACTAGACACCTGTGCCAGTTTGTATGATAAGCTTGAAAATTTACCTGATGTCGTTAAACTGACAGATAATATTGCATAACTTGGTTGTAAATGAATTGATGTAAATACATGTTTTTATTTTTCACATTTCATTGATGTCTTACTTGCTCAGGTCAAATGTTAAAAGGTGCAACCTGTACAGTCTGTCTGACCAGGTAGGCACTTAATTTATTACTTTATGGAAAACTTGATGGGGCAGAGGGCTTTTTTGATGTGAGACCTGGGTGACTACTGCTGTATATATTTTTCTCTCAAAAGAAAAAATGTTAGAACAAGTATTGTAACAAATTGAAGAATTACCTGTCTTGAACAAATTCATTTCTAACAATATTTCACTATCACAAACTAATTTATATTCAACACTTAGCAACTAACGCTTAATTTATTTCCACTATTTGAATTCCGTGTTTAACTGCTCGATTCACTTTCTGAATTCAACTGCCCTCTCTGGACGAGTAGCCGGCCTTATATATCGGTAACGATCATTCTAGAATTCTATAGTCGTTCGGTACTCGCCTAGAATTTTCCCGGCGGTTTCAGACTGCATTCTTTCGCGGTGAGTCATGTATTTATTCGATGAATCGGCTGGCGTATGCGTCAGGGGCGACTTCAGATTCGTTACAGTATTAACGACAAACTGACTTTTTTTGCCTAATTTGCTTGCGATTTATTTGAGAGTCAAGTTATTTCCAATACAACATAAGAGGCTGTATCATTAGAAAAGGTGATAAGTGATAATGAAGAAGTGGAAGAAATTATGTACTATGAATTTGATGAAGATAAAGCTAGTAGTAATTCGGCGAAAGCATTTATAATAGAGATCAGAATTACAATAATTTAATATTCTTCAGAAGACATTTTTTGGCGAAGGAGTCAATTTTTCTCAATGCTTTTCTGAGTTTTTAACCTTCAACAATCTGAAAACGCAATAGAGGATCTGCCGAAGTATGATAAAGGGCAAACAAAAAAGTTTACTCGGAAAAGTGTTCAATACACCAAACCACCAAAGACTCCAATCAGCAACCCGTCATATTCAGAAAACAGTGCAGAATATTTGGTTTGTTGTAATTTAAATATTGTAATTTATTTTTTTAACTGATACTTCAAGTTACCAGAATTTCAAATAGTACCTACTCATTTGGATTTTTATGCATTTAATTATATAAAAAAACAATTCAAAAGTCTATACTGTAACCAAGAATCTTGCTTAAAAAATAAATGAATAAATGAGCGAACCTAGGTCTAGCAGAGCTATTCAACTACTGGTGTTATGAAATTTGGCGTTACTACTGGAAGGTCATTCAAAAACTTTGAGGGTTTTGAATAGAGAATGTTTTCATTTGTCATGTCATGACTTTCACAGTTGGATATGAAATAAAATACTATATATAATTCAAACATAATAGATGAAGAATAAAAGAAAAAAATTTGGGAAATAATTCAAAACTGTTGCAATCAATTTAGAGAAATCACATTGTTGATTTATTTATATATTTTAAGTAGGTATTCTTTAAAAAACATTTTTTTGTGAAGGACTCTATATTTTCTACCGTGGAAAATATTTTTAGTAGTTCGTTTAATGTCATTTGAAAAATGTTGAATTTTAAAAGTCATTCAGGAAGTTGATATTTGTATTTTTAATATTCTTTAAAAAAACATTTTTTGTGGAGGACTCGACATTTTCTACTGCAGAAAATATTTTTAGTAGTCATTTAAAAAATGTTGAAATGATAAACTCTCCACAAAGATATGTAGGTCAAGCAGAGAAGTAACTGGAAGGAACTGGAAGTCTCGCAGATGTTTCTAGTTCTGATATCATTCAAGTAGATCACTTACAGACCAGTTTCGAGGTATTACCTCTCATCAGTGCAGGAAAGATCCGACCTAAACAGTTCCAGGGACTCGAATAACTTCAACACGGCCCTGCTGCATGCGTCTAAGAGGAAGATTGTTAGCTAGTAATAGATCCATCTCGTGAACAAAACCCCTAGCGAGAAGAAATATTTCATGTACTATACTGTACCCTTTGTTTATAGACTATCCATATACAAAGCTTTACCAGAGATCAAAACGTGTCTGAAAACTGTATCGAGAAAAGATATATGCTTAAGAAAGTAAATATTACAAAATAAAATCTCGAAATACTAGAACCTACTGTGAGTTAGGAGATAAATTTTCATCATAAAAATCATGGATATACAGGGTGTTATTTTGAAAACTTCCCACCCTTAATATCTTCCTTCCAGTAAACAATATGAGGAATCTAAAATACAGGTCAATTATATTGTTAAGGGGGACACTTTTGTGTTTCAGTCCCTTAGAAGGGATAGATGTTACCCTTCTAGGGGATTTTAAATGGAAAGGGGGGTCAAGTGGCACATCATTTTGATTGCCGTCCAGTTCTGCTTCCAAAAGTTGTATCGTTTGGGCTGTTGAGTGATTACTTCAATAAGTGTATAAAGACTGAAATGAAATTATTATAATTTACGGAGAAGCTGTAAAGCGCCTACAAAGGGCGACATGTCTTTTTAATAAAAGACATCCAAATTGTAATGTAAGTCACCGGTATGTGCTTGATTTGGTGAACAAGTATTACAAAACTGGTTCAGTGATAAATTAAAAAAATTAATAACCCCAGAGTACTAAATGAAGGAGCTTAAATTGAAGTTTTGGGGACATTTGTTACAGAGCCCACAAGCTACTTATGATCAGTATTAGAATAGACGAGAATGTCATGTGAGACTCTAAGAAAAGCATTGAAAATGCATAAATTTCATTCTTATAGAATGCAGATTCAGAAAGAACTCCACGAGGATGATTATGATAGAAGAATAGAGTTATGTGAAATCATGTCTCGTCGACTAGATATCGTCCTTAATCTTCTATTAAACATCTGTTTTTACGATAAGTGTTCATTTTTTCTGAATGGTAATGTTAATAGACAGAATTGTCGATATTGGAGTGACGAAAACCCACATATTTTTCGAGAAAGGCATACATAACACCCACCCCCATTATTGGTCCATTATTTCCTGAAGAAAACTTGACTAGCAATCTGTACCTTGAAATACTTGAAGAGACTATCGATCCTCGTAACTCACAAGCTAGAAACTCAAATGGATGCTGTAATGTATGTGGCTGCTACGCCATTGATAACTCCCTCCAATCGTACTTTGAGGACGGATTCAGTACCATTCACAGTTGTAATGATATGGATACAGTAGCGACGCAATTTCGCGAAGCAGTGATCTGATCCTATCATGAGAACTGTCCACTGAGGGTCAAAAGAGATAACCACAACTCTTCTTGGTGGAACAAAAGCCTTGAAATTAAAAGAAAAGAAGTTCGACGACTATTCAATCGAGCCAAAGAGTCAGGTAACTGGGAGCTTTATAAAACCACTCTAACGTCATACAAGGAAATTAGAAAGGCAAAACGGGAGTCTTGGAGGAAGTTCTGTATGAGTATCTCTGATTTACCTTGCAGCGCAAGAATTCACAAGATTCTTACTAAAGAGCCGCCTGCTGAAATTGGGTCGCTTAAACGACCCGATGGAACAATTACGACCTCTAGTAAAGAAACGTTAGAGCTTTTGATAGAAAACCACTTTATTGGAAATCTGACTTGATAATAACAGACCGGCCATCTTCGAGGGCGCTAAACGCCCAAAAAAGAACGACTGGGACGTCGCAAGAAAGGTTATCACAGCACCGGCAGTTGAATGGGCTATCAAGTCTTTTCAGCCCTTCAAATCTCCCGGAGAGGATGGTATATTTCCAGCTCTTCTTCAAAACGGACTGGAAATAATTTTACCTATTCTCACAAAATTGTATAGAGCTAGTCTGGCGTGGAACTATATACCACCCAGTTGGTTGGCAGCAAGGGTGGTATATATACCTAAAGTGGGCCGGAGAGACCCACACCCCAAATCGGTACGACCAATTAGCCTTACATCCTTCCTGCTCAAAGGACTTGAGAGTATACTATAGGATTGTCTCTGGCTAGAAAGGGTATAGAATCGACCATAACTGGCTGGATCTATGCCATGCTAGTAAACAGAACTGCAACTACGACTCTTCAAGGCGAGGCTATCAGGTTGTAGCCGTTACTACGCTGTAGGAGATCATCATGGAAAATGGGAAATGAAACTTTCTTTGTTTTTTCACCATTTTTATTTATTTGTAACTGACGTTATTGCAGTTCCATCCTATAAGGACATTCTCCAACTCTATTGTAAGTTTATTGGATTGCGGTTGCTGTATTTCTCGATATTGAAGGAGCATTTGACAATGCATTACCTAAATTTAAAGGATCATCTCTGGCTAGGAAAAGTATAGAATCGTCCATAACTAGTTGGATCTATGCTATGCTGGTGAACAGAACTGCAACTACGACTCTTCAAGGCCAGACCATCAGGTTCAGTGTCACCATAGGCTGCCCTCAAGGTGGGGTACTATCTCCCCTTCTGTGGTCGCTCCTGGTGGATAGTTTGCTTGATGCCCTCGACAGAAGAAAAGTTGATCTGCAAGCTTATGGAGATGATCTTGTCATCCTGGAAAGGTCCACGTCGGGAAGGGCAGCTTGTAATATCCTCCAAAGCGCGTTGGACGTTGTTTACAGTTGGTGTCTGAGGGAGCAGATGTCTGTCAACCCCAGCAAAACTGTGTTAATTCCCTTCACCAAGAGAAGGAAATCGGACGATCTAACGCCACTTTCCCTCAATGGTGTGGTCATTCCAATTGGAACGGAGGTGAAATATCTTGGCATTGTCCTTGATAAAAGACTCACCTGGAACGCTCACTTGGAAAAAGTTTTACACAAAGCCAGACTGTCTCTATGGACATGTCGAAGGATTTGTGGTAAAACTTGGGATTTAGGTCCCAAACAAATCCATTGTATTTATGTGATGAATGTCAGACCAATGGTCACGTATGGTGCAAGTGCTCGGTGGCCGAAGCTTTACAGAAAACGGCCCAAGCGAAGCTCTCTGGCTTACAGAGACTGGCTTGTCTGGCTATCAGTGGTGCCATCAGTACCACACCGTCAGCGGCCATGGAGATCCTTCTAGATCTACCTCACCTTCACATTTTTC